TTTCTTATTATATCAGGTGATGTCATTATGTAACATCAAAATACAAGGATTAAAGATATAGTTTCCTAATTTTTCGGTATTAGAAATCTTAGTCCCGTCATTCATGGGATTGATTTATATTGCAGTCTGGTTAGCAGTTGGTTATATTTCCTTTTTATATCTATTTATCACAGGAAAAAAAAAACATTTCTCTTTTATATCTACTTTTCCCATTTAGGGTCTATCACCTGGACTATGGTAAAAGCTTGGATTGTCCAACATGAAAATGTGGTGTCCATTTAATGTATCTGGACTATGGTAAGTTTAAGGGTAACCATTTCATGCATAAAAGTGGGTGTCCACCTCTCTTCAGCAAACCAAATCTTAGAACATGTATATGTATCTGTAATTATGATGCTCATGGTCCTGTAAGTAACCTATTTGTTCTGTGATCTAACACTTATAAGCAGAAGTCCAGTGGATTTTAAGGGCAATTATGTGTAGTGGAAATTAAGTATCGCGAATGATTTTTATTTTGATAATATAACAAATTGTATGAATACCATATTACCTGATATTTGAAACCATGAGTGTGAGAGATCAAGCTAGGGTTAAGTATTATTAATTGGTTTTCCTGTTCTTAAGGTTTATCATAACATTATCCCCTGCTTCAATGGAAAGCAATTTATTTTAATATTTTTTTGCTAAATGCTAGTCTTTCTTTACTGGTTTAATAATGAATATTAAAAAATGAAAAGTAGTTATGATTAATTGGTAATAATATATTGATCATCTGATATTCAGCACCATGCTCATGTGTAGCAATGGTGTACTAAAACTTTGAAGCTTTTCTGACATCAAATGAAGAAAATGAGGGGGAGAGAGAGTGTGTAAAGATTTCATTTTCAATTCAGATTACCTTTAGCTTTCAAACTTGGACTTGAAAACTAACATGAGTGCCCCATGGCTTATCTCATAAGCACGCTTCTAAGTGAGAACGTCTATCCTAACACATGCTTGCTCATCAAAACTAATTTAATCACAATCAATCAAATCCAATCATGCTAAAACTAATTTAAAATCCTACAACTCAATTATAGATAGTGAGAAAACACGCATCGATTAGTTTGAAATGAAGGCATTGAGGTCGTTGTCTAACCTTAAATCAATGAAATAACTGCAACATTAAGTCTCTCAGAAGTCCTTATACGCTAGCTGAGTTAGGTTTGGGCTTGACCTGTAATTGACAGAACGAGAGTTAAAAAATATTAGATCTATGAATTTTTTCTTTCCTAAATAGAACATTGTCTGATTGATATTCAAAGCACATGTAGCCAGCCATGAAATGACACAATTCAACAATTTTGCAGAGAGAAGTAAATTGAAACGAATTCAAGCGATGAAGTGTTTCCAACATTATTATATTTTCAATTAACCCTTCAGAGACAGATTAATCTGACCATTTCGAAACAGTGAAGATGAAGCTTACAGAATAATCTTCAATATGCTCAGATTGAATTTATTATTATTTCAATCAAGTTTCAACATTACAGATTAATCAGCCATTACAAAAAGTAATCGATGAAGATGAAGATGAAGATTACAGATTAATCAACCATTACATAGAGTAATTCAAGTTCAATTTACATGTTACAAATTAAGGCGATGAAGATGTGTCATTACAGAGAGTAAGATTCGAGCGATGAAGATGAATCGATGAAGATGAGTGTCAAACGTTACAGAGAAAGACAAAGAGAAGTATTTAGGCTTACCGATATATGAATCTTGATTATGAATCAATCGAAATCTTCTTCAACAGCATCTTCAAATTCTTCAAATCTTAAATATTTGGCTTCAAATCTTCATCAACAGCATCTTCAAATCTTCAAATTTTGAAATCAAATCTTCAAATCTTCACTGTTCGAGCGAGAGAGACAATGAGATTCGAGTGAGAGAGTGGAGATTCAAAGAAAGAGTCGAGCGAGATAGATTTTGAGAGAGAGAGAGAGAGAGAGAGAGAGAGAGAGAAAAGAAGAAGAAGAAGAAGAAGAAGGGAGTTCAGATTTGGCAAAATTAGGAAAAAATGGACATAGGTCACGTTTTATGTTTTTGTTTTTTTGTGGGTTTTTTTTTGGGGGAGAGGTAAAATGAGATTTTAATATAAAAATAATTTTTTTTTTGCGACGGTTAAATAATCAGTCGCAAAAAATTAGACGCAAATAATCATTTTTCTAGTAGTGACACTTGCATGTTTCCCTTTTTAATGGTGTATTAATTTTCATCAATAAAAATATTCTTTGCTGATAAAAAAAAAAATCATATATATATATATGTACATATTTTTGAAATAATTAAAAGAAAATTTTATTGATAATGATCAAGCAAATATATAGACAATTACAATAAAAAGAAAGCCCGAGCCCAACTAAGATGGCACCAAGAAGGCAAACAAAGTAAAAGAAAATTACCGCCCACCCACAGTTGCATGACACCAACTCAAAGTGCAATTCAATTCTAATTCTTAAAATAAACAAACCATATTCTATTCATAATTTTACCATTACGGTCCCCACTTGGAACCCGACTAAATCATTTGAATATATATATATATATATATATATATATATATATGTATGTATAATTTGTTACTACACGTTATTCAAGTGCCTTATCACTACCACAAAGTACCTTATTACTACCACATATATATAACATAAGTTTATTTATTATACCGTGGTTTGGTTGGGAGATTTTGGGAAGGAATTTGGAAAAGAGAAATTGGAAAATCTTATAGACCATATGATCCTAATTGTTTTTTTTTGTAACCGTTTAGTCCCGTTGAGTGTATGTTGACCAATTTGCCATTGAGGCCTTAAATTTAGGGGTGGGTATTTGGGACGCGCGTGGGTTTGTTGCAACGGGGGTGTGATTGTGTGTCTCGTAACAAACGAAAATGTTATAAAACTTTTGTGTAGTCGGTGCCAGTGATGTGGGTCAGTTCTCAGGTGAAGTGATATTGTGTAACCTGACCCGCGAAACCGTTCTAAATTGTTTGTTCAATGTATTTGGGGGTTTGTAAGATTTTGTTTATGGGTGTCGACGTGAAACGCAGAATCTGATACGATCATCCCCTTGTGTCATTTGAAATTCAAATTTCGTTGATTGCGGAACCAACGACACCGATTTTGGAAATATTTGACGCATTCGTTTTATGCATAAAAGAATCCTTAGGGTTTGAAATCGTTTATTCGTGGTGGCCAAGAACCCTAATACATTCCGTGGAAGTGGTTGTCGCTCTGCGAACATTCCAGATTAGACTGAGGTTTGTTTGGCTGGGGGTACGGAAAAGTAATTCAAATGCCTGACACAGGTAAGTTGGTAATGTATTGGGTTATTATTTTACTTTTAGCATTATATATTGACGTGGTTAGGGATTTTTGTTTTGGGCGATCGTGGTATGTGTTACTCCGCACAGTCAAATATGATATGTATGTATGATTTTCGTTGTAATTTGTTCAGTAATGGCGTGTTTCTGAGTATGTGTTTGTTGTGTTGTTTGAATAAAGTTTTGGTTGGTTTTGGAACGTAGGCAAAATTGTACTTGTAGTGCCAGTGTGGGGGTATGTGTTTGAAGTTTTTTGTGAAAAGGAATCGTTATGGTGTGGGGTTTTTTACTGTCGAGGGAAAAGTGCTTTGTGTGAGGGGACCGCATGCACCTGGTTGTGGGGATGGAATAATTTTTTGTGTGTGTGGAAGTTGTGTGGACGTGGCATGTGTATGCAAGTGTGAAATGTTATTTATTATGTTGCTTTATCATTGTCATTGTTATATTTTATTTTATTTTTTCAAGTTTTAAATCTACTACATAAATTCAAGTATAACCTAGCTTTTAATGTTTAAAAATTTCTATTACTGCACTTGTATTAATTATTATTTTTTTTTCAAATTCAAATTATATAGCTCGTCCCTCTAGCATTATTTTTTTTTTTAAAGGGTGGTCATCTCTCTATATCCCTACATTATCATTTATACATTAACTTATTATAATATTTTTTGAAAAAATAGATAGATTTAAAGTTTCACAACATTTGCGTATTTTTTAGGTGATTAGGTCCAACAAAATAACAATCACTTAGAACTTCTCAATTAAAAATTTTGTTTTATTACTACTCATAAATGCTTTTCATATATAAAAAAAAAAATGCCTTTTAATTAAATGTGGATATAAGAAAATATATATATATTTATATGTTTCAATATTATTTTTACTTTTATGTTGGTAAAATTAAAGATTTTGTCTAAGGTATTACAGTCCTCTTATTTGACTAATTTACTGTTTATTCACTATATTCTTGTTGATACAACCAATCAAATCACGTATGCCTTTTCTTTTAATATAAAGTTTTATTATCATTCACTTATAATATTTTTGTGGATGCATTATATATAGGGTTTGTCCTTTAAATATTGTTTTGATCAGCAAAAACGAATTTTATTAATAAAAATCAAAGGACAAGACATTAGATAATATATACAAAAGATATTTATATCTACATAAATTTATACAAGGGCAAAGTGGGCATTATGAAAAAATTATATACTTATCTCATCAACTCCTTTCATTGTCATTGACAAAAAAAAAAACGGCATAGGAGGGAATTTGAAACAATGTCCCAAAGCAGTAGGGAGGTAAGTGTAATTTTAGAAATTTAAGAGGAAGTTTTTATAATTGTTATAAATTTCAGAGGAAGTTAGTATAATTTATCGAATAATTTTACATATAGGTATCTGTAAATATACATATAAATAATTTAACAAATTTTGCTAAAATATTGTTTAAAAAAACTTTTCTTCTATTTGGTATATGCACGAGTCAACTGGTAGTACTTCAATATTATTGCAGATTTGGTGCTTATTCAAGAAATGCATTAATCTGAGATTTTGGATAGCCCTAATTGACTAATGATTCCAAGTAGTCAATTCTCCACCTCCTCCCTTGTTCTGCTTTGTTATGTCTTGTTTCTTTTTCTTCACTTGAATTCTCAGTTGTTGCTTATGTTAGAGTATATCAATAAATTAGAAAATTCCTCTATTTGCCTATAATTAAAAAAAATAAAAATCACACATGACATGAGAGTTACATGGGCAATCATTTCTGTAGTTGGAAGTGGATTTAATTTTGAGAATAGTTTGTGCAAATATTTAAGGCCTTGTTTGTTTGTTTAGGGGATAAAAGGGGTATATATAGAGTGTGAAGGACATTATATGAGGTGGGTTTCATAATTTTTATTTATTTTTTTTGTCTTTTTATATCTTTCGTTTGGTTAGTCTAGACGTAGACAAACCATATATCATCTCCCTCAAAAGAGGGGAATCTGTAAAACTAGTCCAATGGTATTATATATCCCTCACTATCGATATAGATTTAGCTTTCATCCAACGATCGAAAATAATTTTTCTCTTTTTATTCTATGCTATATCACATGTAAAAATAATCTCATAATACATATATATAATTCATCTTATATCTTAAATATATTATATCATATTTTATATTCCTAAGTATTACACATTATCCTCAAACTTTTATATATAATCTGGACTATGAAACAAGATCTTAGAATAATCAGGACATTTGGCTTGGTGATTGTGTAATATCATTTGTGGTGTGAGGTCTCAATTTCTATTAAGAGGATTTTAATACCTTTTGTGATGGTGTTTATTTCACCGCATTATGAGGGTTGCATGTAAGTAGTAGCAGAGTGATTGTTGGGCTTGAACTTAGTAATTTGTTGTTATACAAACATTGTTGACTTTTTTATGGACTAATAGTGTTTGATGATGTAATATTTCTCATCCTTATAATTACTTTCCATCATTGAAAACACAAAACTTAGAATAACTAAGTAATAATCTCGAGTACTTGATACACTCGAGTCATAGTAGTAGCAGAGTGATTGTTGGGCTTGAACTTAGTAATTTGTTGTTATACAAACATTGTTGACTTTTTTATGGACTAATAGTGTTTGATGATGTAATATTTCTCATATTTATAATTACTTTTCATCATTGAAAACACAAAACTTAGAATAACTAAGTAATAATCTCGAGTACTTGATACACTCGAGTCATAATTATTTTATTTTAATTTTTTTTTTTTTGAGCAGCAATGAAGATAAATTATATTAGATCATGAAAAAAGGTACACAAAGCTTGGAAAAACAAGGCGGTTTTCAATGGAGGAGGTCTTTAATAATAATAATAGTACAACGAAGACCAGTAATAGAGAGGTGAATGTGGAAATCATGGTAATCGATGATGGAGAAGAGCCAAGTAAAAGTAAAAGTAAAAGTGAAAGTGAAAGTGAAAGTGAAACGATCAACATGGTAGAAGAGTTGTCCACACCTCGAATACCTAGAGTTCCACCGTTGATGAGAAACCATGAAAATAACAAGGGAATGTTCGATCCAAAGGTGGTTTCTATAGGTCCATACCACCATGGCAAAGAGGATCTCCAGCTTGTAGAGACCGTCAAGCCTATGTTAGCAGCACTATTTCTACAAGACAGCGACAAGAACAAGGATGAGGTCTACAGCATGATTCTTGAAAATGTTGATGATGCTAGAAGCTACTATGTTAAACGCTCAACCGATGAATACAGTTGTGAGCAATTTGCAACAATGATGCTCTTGGATGGTTGTTTCATTCTAGCTATAATTGAGGACTTCTTCCTCTGTGCTGCCGGTCAAAAATCAAAATATGATGATGTTAGAAATCATCTAGGCCTTTTACTTTGGTATTCAATACCTGATGATATATTTTACTTGATTGAGAATCAACTCCCACTTCAAGTTCTTGAGTTGATAATGAGCTTAAAATTCAAAGAGGATGAAGGGATGAAATCCATCAATGTGTTCTTGAATAGTGTGATTTCTTCAGACACTAGACATATTTTGAATAAGGATAAAGTTATTGTTAGTGAAACCGACAGGGAATCATTTCATCTCCTTCAATTAGCACGGACAAAGTATCTCAATCTCAACCAATCCCTTCACATACTTGAATCTCAAGTGAGCACAAAGAAGGAGAAAGACAAATTCCAATGTAAACAACGCCTTAAGGATTACATTCAACACTTGTTTTGTTATTTCAAAGAAAAGAGCCTTAAGATACACGGTTTTGTTAAGAAACACAAATATTCCCAACCTAAGAGTGATGTGATGGAATATTTTCTCACATTTGGTTCGGCTACTGAGCTCAAAGCAAAAGGGATACACTTTAGGCCTAACCCCGCTCTTTATCTCTTGAGGGTATTGAGTTCAAATCTTGGTGCTTCTATGGACGTCTTGAACTTCATCCTTTCCTTGTTAATCCACCTTACAAACTATTTATGTCAAATATGATTGCTTATGAAATGGTATCATGCACCAGTATTGTGGACCTTGTCATTACGTCTTACATTGATTTCATGCAATTACTGATTGACAACCAGGACGATGTGAAAGAGTTGCGGTCAAAGCATATACTATTCAATGCGCTTGGCAGTGATCAGGAGGTGGCTAATGTTTTCAAAGAGATCACCACTTTTGGAACTTATGTCATATTATATGATGATATCAAGCAGAGGATTCAGGTTCACTATAACAACACTGCCAAGACTTGGATGGCCGAATTTATTAACAAATATTTTAGCAGACCATGGACAGTCATTGCTTTCGCTTCTGCAACTTGTCTCCTTGTCTTGGCTTTTCTCCAGACTTACTACACTATCGTCTCCTCAACAAAATCATAAATAAAGTAAGACCATTTGTTTTCCTGAGTGCCATTTGCTTTCATGTCTCCAGGTTAGTTGGGTCTCTTCTATTTGTTCTCTAGGTATCAACATTTGTCTAACCACACCCCTCTCTCTCTCTCTCTCTCTCTATTTAATGTGTTTGTGTGTGCATTAGTTATTAAATAAATGCTTTTTCTTATGTCATGATTGTGATTATTAGTTCTCTTGTAATTTGTATTTTGACGGAGGAATGTAATATTGTTGTTATCAGACTTATTTCTATGCATTGTTTAAATATTTTTTCTTTTTTAAAATTATTATGATATGATCACTTTTTATTAACAAAAAAAGAAAAAAAAATTAAAGAAAGGCCTGCTCAAAGATCTATTATTAGTCCAATTTGAAGAGAACCAAACCTCATGTACTTCACAATGAACATTTCTGAAATAAACTGTCTCCTTCTTCATTTATTGACGTTGCTTTTATATAAGAGACTAGTGAAGCTAGTTCCCAATACGAATGCCCACTACATGTTATAGAAATCTTTTTTTAATTTTTTTTTTATTGTAGTTAATTGTTCTGTTGTTAAGAGTTTAAAAGCAATTACCCTGTTGACAATAATTTATGAATAATAGTTATTGTATTTGTCTCTTAACTTGGATTATTACAAAAGAAAAGTAGCATACTCTGGATACATTATCAAGCAGAGCATTCCTGTATTACAACACAGAAATTATTATTTTGTATAGCCAACCTGTCCAACAAAAAATATACATTTTATTAAATGCCGCTCTTACTCGACATTATATAGGGCTCTATTGAGCATCTAGCATTTCATCGTAAGCCACACCCAAAGGTCTTATAGCAAGAACACTACGTTCTCTTTCTCTTTTCTTTTAGGCATCTACTTGTTGGTTCAAATTGATATTGCACAAAATTGCATGCAAGAGTATAGTTAATTTAAATTAAAAAATTCAATAAAAAAAAGTTGAATGTATTGCATATATACAAATAGAAAGAGAAAAATACCATAAATTGTAAGATTGATATCAGCTGCAACAACTAGTCAAGCCGATCCTGATGCAGGTTGGCATATATAAAAGGTCACCTCTCCTTGTAATGTGAAATCATTTCTTTTGAAAGTCATAATGTACAAAATCTCACAGTTAACAGTTTTGTGGTAGCTCTGATGTTGACGTACATCTCCATAGCTTTCTTATTGATTCATTACACAATTTTGTGGTAGCTCTGATGTTGACGTACATCTCCATAGCTTTCTTATTGATTCATTACACAATTTGGGGATGTCATAAAATACTGCAACTACAACTATAAAATATAGATAAAACATAATTACAAAGTTGTTTCCCTGATGCACTGAACATTTAGTTTTTTTTCAAGCAAAGATGTGTTCGGTTTTCTAATGAAATATACCTATCAGATTTACATACCATATCCTTGTAAGATGATAAAATTTTACACTGATGCAGCTCCTGAAAGAAAGATTTTTCAGTTAGTGTTACCAAAGATATGAATTTCATAATTAGAAGAAAAACATAACCAAAGTTTTTCACATGATGAGTTAAAGAGGCTTTTGCTTCTTTAAAAGTTGTTTGCATGATAAACAAATGCCCTTATGTACTTATAGTACTCATTCTTATTTCTTAATCAACTATGCCGATCGTCCAGAGTCCATTTGGTTTTAGCATCAGAGCTATTCCAAACTGAGCTAAATTAATTATCAAAATTAGATCCAAATCTACCCCTGATTTCTTCTTATTTCCACCGGTGGTTCAATTCATCAATCAAATGCTCTCACTCAAAAAATTTGAGCATCACACCACACAACACAGTGGTTTCAAAGAAATGCATTTTGGCAACCATCGATCAATCAAAACGGAAATACATTTACCGTTCCCCACTCCATCTACATATGATTGAACTTCTGTTATTTCTACCCATATCAGACCATTATGCTCAAAATACACTGGCTTAAATTCTAACCAGTTATTTGATATTCTAACAAGAGTAGGAAATGAAAAACACACAGAAACAAATTAGGGTAAATTATACAAATAGTCTATGTAGTTTACACGATGTGCCAATTTGGTTCTTGTTATCTCAATTTGCTCAATTTTGCCCTTTAATTTAACGGTTTGTGTCATTTTAGTCCAATAAATAACTGTAAATTTGGTGGACGGAAAGTCTAGGGACCAAATTGACACACTGTGTAGACTTTTCGTCCACCAAACTTAACAATCGTTATTTATTAGATTAAAATGACACAATTTATTAAATTAAGGGCCACAATCAAGCAAATTAAAATAATAGAGACCAAATTGATATATCGTGTAAACTAAAATGACCATTTGCATAATTTATCCAAAAAATTAATATGTTGCAGCTTACATTCCATAACCAACATAGAGATAGAGACAACATTTGGGAACATATTTTTTTAGTAACTTTTTGACTTTTTAGCTAAAATATGAGATAAAAAAACTAATATGTTTGGGATGACTTTTTAGTTTTTTATGAAAAGATGTGCAAAAAGTAAAGAGAAAATAGAATCTTTGATTTTTTGGTATAGGTTGTTAGATTTTTGATTTTTTTTGGTAACTTTTTAACTTTTAGGCAAAAAAGTAATATTGCCAACAAGACCTAACGCAGATAAGTTCACATTAGCCTCTATGTTCCGAATTATTTAGAGTGCTGCTATAAGCACCTACCAAAATTCTTTGGACCCCTCATTTCTTTAGATCCCAACCCTAATTCCTAAATTTTAATAATATTTTTTTGGACACCCCACTTATTATCAAATCTACCCATATTCATAATATTTTCACAATGAAATGCACACCCACCTGAATCCATTCCAACATTAACCTTAGCCTAAATCCACAAGTAAATGCACGCAATTCACACCCCCAACCACACCCACTCTCTGCCTCCCTCTCTTCTCTCTCTTCTCTCCTCATCAGTGATGTCTCTTCTCTCTTTTTTGTCTCTCTCTCTCAAAACCCCTTTTGTTTAGATGAGAAAGTGAAGATTTTTCTCTCTCTTCTCTCTCTTTTCTCTCTCTCTCTCTCTCTCTCTCTCACTCTCTCACTCTCTCAAAACCCCTTCAAAACCCTAACTTTTTCTCTCTTTTCTCTCTCAACGTTAACCACATCTAAAAGGTGGTTCTTGAAAACACAATGCATTTACTTGTGGGGTTGGTGTTCTTCGTCGATTGGGATTTCGACGACGCGGGTCTCTTTGGAATTTGCCATTGATTGGGAAATTCATATGAGAAAGTGAAGATTGATGCGAATTGTAAGAATAGAAAATAATGTATATATATGGAAAACTAATCTCCATAATATTTTCAGAATAGAAAACTAATCTCCATATTTTCACAATGAAATGCACACCCACTCAATTTGTTCACTACTGTGTAGCCGAAAAAATGTATTTTGTTCAGAACTGTTCTGTCGAACAATAATGATCCTGTCAGCACTGTATGTCCGAACAAAATTTGTTCATCACTGTGTAACTTGAATCTATTCCAATTCACAACTTAAAATAACATCAATTAAATCCATTCAAAATACATAACTTAAATCCATTCCAATTCACTCTTTTCCATTCTAAATTAGTTTAACAAAGAAAATTACATAAATGACTATCTGCATTAATGTTTGGAACCTATGTATTGAACGAAAGGATTATGTTTAGTACTGTATTACCGAACATAATTTTAACAGTCAGCAAACCAGTACCGAACAGTTCGAACGAAACAAGAACCACCGAAAATGATCGAAAATGTTAATACAAGATAGATAAACGATTGAGAGTGTTGTCCCCGTCCTCCATTGCTCTACACAGTGAAATAAGTGATGAAGTATACGTTATACTTGAAGCAAAACTTTTAAGTTCAATAGCGTTGATGATGGTGATGAAGATGACACATTCAGGATTTGTCCAATATTATAAAGTATTAGTTCTTATTGATAGGTGGGTGTTCCATTTAATAATGTCTTTTACTGTAATTTTACTTTAGGGTATAATTGTAATAAAAAAAAATTATAAAATGGGGGGTCCAAAGAATTTTGGCAGGTGCTAATAGCAGCACTCAATTATTTATCATTTGTTGAATTTCTTCAAGATATCAATTACCCTGAAAATGTTTACATTGAAAAATGCAAAAATACTTTCACAAAAATTATTTGATGATCAAACAAATAAAGCTTGAGAAAGTACAATATATGAAGGATAACCATTTTTACGTTAACAAATCCATCTCAAATGGGTAAAATTGAAGATGGAAATTTTGATTTGAGATGTGATGATAACTTTTGAGCTGAAACTTAAGCCAAAAACACTAACAAATATAAAAGACCTATCATGAAAACAAATTACTCATTTCTATCAACCATTATCTTTCTGAAAATATATTTAATTATTTTTTTAAACTAACAACCCCAATTCTGTATGTATTAAATGAATAAGAATTTTGGATGACTGAAAAAATCAAAAAATTCTCCAAATGCATGATACAATCACACTAAAAAGTTCATATGAATTATTTAACAAAGATAACCCGTTGTTGCTAACATTGAATATATCATTTGAATGGGCATAAACATAAAATATTAATTAAATTTAAACAATAGGATGAAAAAGATATTTCTCAATGCATCATTCATACGTCCAAACAACCAACACATTCCTTATCTTAGGGTTTATTTTCGATATAAAATCCATTAACAGAGCATCCATATTAAGACAGTACAACTATGTACATTGTTCGGTGGTGGGATTTTTGGGTGAGGAAAGGATTTCGCAAGGGAGGGAAGAGCAGAAGAGGATGGAAAAGTAGGAAAGAGGGGTTTTGCAGGTTTGGGTGGGGAGGGAGAGAGTTTTTGGTAGTAGGGTTTTTAGGTGGGTGTGAAGGGTGGTTTTTGGATACTCCTTCGTTCCAAATAGACCTTTAATGGATCCTCACTCTGGTGCAGTAGGGTTTTTAGGTGGGTGTGAAGGGTGGTTTTTGGATACTCTTTCGTTCCAAACAGACCTTTAATAGATCCTCACTCTGGTGCCTGAAACAGGTAACACTCTGGTCGGGGGTGTCAGAATTAGCACTTCGACAAATAAGTCAGAGATTGGTTGTGGAAAAATAAAGAGAGAGAGAGAGAGAGAGAGTGATCATGCATACCTTTCTTCTTCCAATTACCTTCTTTATATAGAGGTTTTGTGTAGATATTTCTCATATAATCATCACAATGTCAGGGTCCAGGTCTCTATTACACCTCCAGAAAGAGACGGCTTGTGCCCACTTTGATTGGGATAGTCTGTCAAATTTCTTCTGGAGCTTGGCATAAATGTTCTTTAATTCTCAATACTACCCACTCGGTGTGTCACTTAGTCAGTGAAGGGGTTACTCAGTGTCGAACCTCTGTAATCAGTGGGCCTAGTTGACAACAGGCACGGTTGGACTTGGGCCCATCAGCGATTGGCCTAGGAGTACTCTCTTTGTTGAAATTTTATACTCAGGCCCACACAATTGCCCTCCAAGCTCTTGGTCATCTTAAGTATCGAGTGGCTTGCGTGTTCGGCTCGCACTGAACTACTCATTTAGCTGATCTTCCTGACACGTGGGCTGCTTTCATTGCGCGTCAAGGTTTGGACGTGTGATGGGTACTCCGTCCTCTGATACGACTGATGGTATCCCACAAAAGATATATATACCGCATGCCTCTTCAAGCTTCTTTCATACCCTTCATTTAGTGCACTTTCAAAAAATATTTCTCAACGCCCTTTCACTTTTGAAAAGCCCTAGGTAGCATTTGGTAGAGTTTTCTAAATATGATTTGAGAATAAGAGTTGCATTTTGAGTTTATGAGTTTTGGAATTATGATTTGAGTGCAGAAAATTTGTTTGGTGAATGAGTTTTGAAAAGAGTTTTAAATTGAGTGAAAATTTTTTTTATGTGAGATATGATATCTGATACAAAAACTTACAACTGCAAAAAAAAATTTCAAAAACATTGTTTTATTAAAAATATAAAAAAGGGCCAATTGCAAAAAAAAAAAATAAAAAAAAAAATCACACTATTTAGGTTAACCGACTGGCCAATCGACCAGACGTCCGGAAGACGATGGATAGGCCAAATTTCAAAATTTAAAAGCTCACCTAGAACAAATTTTCAAAAGGAGGGGTGGAATTAATTTTCCAAAACTTAAACGCTAAAACTATGATCGCAAAACCCTTCCAAACACAACCCTAAATTTTTTGCAATTTTTCGTCTCGATCTTCTTCATTGAAGTTGCTTCTGTAAGTCTTCTGAACCATTTTCTTTTCCTGATTTCTATATCGCATTTTTTATTTTTCCTTTTCTTCTCTTTGAGTTTTTGTTCGTGAGTTGTTGTGGCGAATCACCTGAAGGAGCTTTTGTCAGAGTCAAAACTCGTTTTCTTTCGTCACCACTTCGAGATCCCAGACAATGTTCAATTGAAACTCATTGGGGATGGGGTTTTCGATCTTGAAATGGCTAACGCGAGCACCATTGCTCTGCCGCTTCTGGCCATCACTGAGGGGGGAGTTCACTTTCCCCTTCATCCCCTACTTCGAACTACTCTTCGTCACTGGGGTTTAATTCCTTCCCAACCAAACGTCAACTACTCTTATATGCCTTGGATTTCACTTATTGATAAATTAGTAATCTTATCTTCACTAATGGATTTACATAGCTTGCGTTGTGCTTACTGTCATTTAATTTGTCCATTTCTTCCATGCTTCATAATTTTTTGGTGACATGATAAATAACTGTTGGTGTTTTGAGTAGGCATGCTTTTCTTGTTTTTATTTCTTCTTTGTATTTAATTCAATGGTAGGAATGTGGATACCATTTTTCGCCGTTGGTGGTAGTATCACATGATTGGTTTCAATTCTCTTAAGGAGCTTGAACAATCCCTTCATTACCTATCTCTGCTTGCCTATAGCAAAGAAAGTATAAAATAAAATCTCTCATTGGAATTTTTTGTTATTTGCAGTTGTGTTTATTTGGTTTAAAACAATCTCTAGACTCAGATATGAATGCTTGGGCATGCCAAGTGGAGAGAACCTCCTGGTTCTTGGCTTGCCTCAATGAAGAGGACTTAAAATGTGTTAGATTATAAAGGGAACAAAGACAAATGTTGTAAGTAGAAGAAAATTGAATTACATTCAAAATGATCAAGAATGCATTCAAAATTGAAATGCAATCTAAAATATGCAGAGACGTTAATGCTTTCTCATAACACTATACTGTCCTCCCCTTGAATGAATTTAATCCATTAGATGTTTAGAGTCGTGATTATAGTTTTTAACCTTTATCATTCGAACCTTATTTTTGGGCGTGCATGCTATGAGTTTGATAGCAAAGGTGCTTAACTAGTAGCCATTTTTGTGTATGAAAATTGGGCACAAATGCATATGGTTCATAAGTTTGTCTCAGATGATTAGGTGATTCTTTTAGCTTTGGACAGTGTTGTTTGTTCTATTGTGGTAAGAAACGCCTTTTCTTCTTATGCTTCTTACATATTGCTTGTCTTCATTTAAAAAAAAAAAAAAAAAATTTTTGGGTATATATATTTATCCTTTCTCTTAAAAAAAAATTGTGTTTTGTTTTCCTTCTTTTCCTTGTCCTTGGTACATTTATTTGACTGTTTTTGAGTTTACTAGACAAATCTAATTAATTTTTCCTTTTTAATGTATGCCTTTGACCATAGTCACAATAAGCAATTTGTTAATAATACTCATCTCTATTTGTTCTATAATCTGTGTATGATATTCTCTCTCTCTCTTTTTTTTTTTTCCTTTTTTTTTTTTTTTACGTATAGTTATGGTTTTATAGATTTTCTAAATTTTTTGATTTTGAGTTTGTGTTCCTTGTGATTGATTTTTTGTTTGATTACTCATGGTTTGGGTTCATAATGGCCATTCACCCAAAAAAAGGGTTCATAATGGCCTAGTTAAGTGCAAGGATTTCAAATGTAGCCATGTAATCATAGTGGCATGGCATTTGGTTTTTTTCTCTTTGGTGTGTGAGTGGTTCTACAATCATAGCTCCATGTCTAAGACCAGATGGAAGGTGTTTGGTTCTTTGTCATGGCTCATGCATGATGCTCTTCAGCAGTTGAGTGGCTTGGATGATAAGGATGACTGCTTCATTCACTACCTCGTTTAGACCCTTGTTTAGTGGCTCTCTCTCTCCAATTCTTCCTGGTTTTGTACACATCTTTAAAGTGTCCACTGTCAGTCTTATATCTTATGTTCCAATAGCTTCTTCTCTATATGGGAAATATATTATTTCTTATTCATGTTCTGGTCTATGTCAGGCACTAGAGATGTTGGAAAAAAACTAGCGATTCAATTCCTCTCATTTTCCTTATTACTGATGGGGCAGTTGAAGATGAAAGACACATTCGCAATGCTGTGAAAAGTCACTTTGCAAATAGAAGAAGATCAATTTATCCTCGAATTTGCACTTTTGGAATAGGTGAGGAGTTGGTGTTTTGGTTCTGTTATTATTGTTGGGGTAGTCTTCTAGTTTTTAATTTCATTAATGTTTTGATATATTTGCAATATAATCATTTGAGACTAGCTTAACTTCATGTGTAATTTATTCTTGCCTGTCATCAATCCTAGCTACTGCATTTTAGGCTGAATAATTGGACTCTGAAATTTTGTATTTTTCTGTCTTTTTTGGTATCCAGTTGATGTAATTGTGTGAACTATTTTTCCAGGTTCATATTGTAATCATTACTTCTTGCAAATGCTGGCACAAATTGGAAGGGGCAATTATGATGCTGCATTTGACATTGGTCAGTTCTGTTATTATGTAAAGTGATTTATTTCACTTGTTTTCATTACATGAGATATTTGTTTTTAACCATTGCATCTTACGTGAAAATCAGTGATACTATTTTTTGTTAATAATTGAAACAAAAAATATTATTTGGAGCTTACTTGCAACTATCAAATATGTTAGTTGATGCTCTCATCCAAGAACAATGGGTTGGCATTTTCTTCTTAGAAACCGGAGACACAGAGAATTCTTGTCCAAAATCACAATTCTAAAGCAATAGGGCCTAACAAACTTGAGACATTTTTAGTCTTCAACAAAATTGGATTGTTAACATATTTAGTTTTCAAATTTCAATTATGCTCCAATGATCAGAGAGTCATTACTCTGGGTCTAATTTCAGCTTGCTTTTATTTTTAATGTTCAATTTCTCAGATTCAGTTAACTTTCAAATACAAAGTCTATTCAACACCGCTTCATCAGTCATTCTTGCAAATATTACTATTGATGCGTTGGAATGTCTAGATTTACTTGAAGTACACTGATTATTACAGGATTTTATTTTTTATTTATGCTCATGATGTTTGGGAGTATGTATCAATGCCATAAGATATTCATACGGAAACTTGGATTCATAATTATCATATAATTTCCTAGTCTTTTATATAGACAACTTTCTTGCTTATAGTTGTGTTATTTTTGCCTCATATCTGATGGGGTACTTCTATTTGGTGATAACAAAGAGGATAATTGATCTAATGCAGATATGGCATTTATGGCCTCAAAACCAGATGTTGACAGAAAATCGTTGTTTAAGGAAAATCATAGCAAATATTTTATACTTTAATGCCCCTGAACAATAGTTTATACATGTCTATGCAGTTGTATCCGCTTGAAATACTATATTCTAAACTAGCCAATTGTGAATTTACTGACATGGCATTCATTGTTCTCATCTAATCTCACTTGTTCAACTTAATCTATGACACTTCTATTTCTGTGTTTGTCACTGCAGTTATACCCAAATCTTATCCCAGACCTTTCCTCTGGAAGTTCATTGATTGTGTCAGGCAAATACAATGGAAATTTTCCTGATTCTGTAATAGCAAGTGGACTCTTGCCGGATATGAGCAATTTTACTGTGGAGTTAGAAGTGCAAAAATCAAAGGGCATACCTCTTGACAGAGTAATTTTTCCGCTTAGTTTTCATTTGAACCTTTTACAAAACTGAGCTACGTAACTTAGTTTTCCTTTTAAAATTTTATACAAAGCTGTGTTTACGATGACTATATTTTATCCAAGTCATAATGTTTTTTACAAACAATTTTAACACCATTTGAATTTTTTTTTATGTCTTCAGTCTTGAATTTGGTTTATTAAATAAACAATTCAAGTAAAAAATAAAACAAAATAAAATTACAAAAACATAAATGTTGCACACAAATGGAAATTTGTGTTAGTAGTGAACTTTCTCTTCTTTGATTCTTGCCTTTCTTTGCAGGTATTTGCAAGGAGACAAATTGATATTCTCACAGCTCATCATGCATGGTTATTGGAAAATAAACCACTACAGGAGAAGGTTTGTTTTTGGACACCACTTAAAGTTGGTTTGTATTTGTTTCTTTTTTTTAAGTGCAAGGATTTCAAATGTAACCATGTTCCTTTGTGTTTGTTTATATATGGAGTGGGGTCCTTAGAGCTTGCTGTTAATATGAGGCCAAACCTTGTTCCCTTACTTTTAGCATTATATCATGTCAATTTTCCTTTTATTTACTTTATTAATTTATTTGGATGATCTATTCTTATTAGTTGTTGATTGTGATTGTGTTTTTGTTTCATCAAATGCAAGTGAATTATTTGTGAATTTCTTGAGTATCCTCCCATACTGTTTTTTGTAATTCTTGGCACCATTGCAATTTCATTTTTTCTAACCTCTTGGCAGTTATTTCTTGTTTATACATTTCTCTGTGCATCTATAAGAACCTTAGGTGTTTATAGTTTTTGCTACTTTGAAGCTTTGTAAGTTTTCCTCCATTTTTATTTTTGTGATTAACATTTGCATCTGCCTCTATTTTTCTCTCTGGTTATTTCTGTAACAGAGTGCAGTTCAAGTGAACAACTTTCTTCTTTTGCTTGACTTGAGTATGTATATTGTTATATTTAAAATTCCAACTACCTCTACTATGAATTTGGTGACTTTAGTGTTTGGAAGCACATTAACTTCTTGTTCAATTTTGCTATATCAGTTTTACTTCATGATTGTCAATCTCACAACATGCACTTCCATGTTCCTCCAAGTTCAAAAAAAGTCTATGAAGGAATGATAGCAAGTTGACAACAGTTTTACTTCATGATTGTACTAGTTAGAAATGTAATGGCCAGGAAAGTAAGTGTTACTCTAGATGTCTTCAGGATTTGTGAGAATAATGGCTAATAACTATGGTTTAACAAGGAGGAAAGAAGGGTAAGAAGTGGAATAAATACAAAATTGTGTGTGGGTGGGGAAGAAACACTAGAAGCCTGAATTTTTTGACTTGCGTGATATCAATTGGTGCAATCTGGATCTTGGTTAAGGAGTTAGTGTCAACAATAAAAAATCAGGATAAGAATCCTTGAGATACTGATGCTGTTCAGACCCCGTGCTTTATTGTTGCCTAGAGATTTTGTGATTTATTATAACAATTTGACTGTTTTATCCTTTCCTAATCAGTTTCCATAAACTAAATGCAAGTTTTGGATTTCACTATGTTCCCAAAACTAGAATTTGATCTACCAATATTCTGTGCCAACTTTTTCAGCATTGCTAGCATGAACATAGTTGTGTTGTAAGCTATCTTTTTCACTTTCTTTTAAACAAACTTGTGAGAGCAAGTGGCGCTTCGATAGGACGTACGGTTAGAGATTTAGACAAAAAAATGTGGCAGAAAAAGGCAAAAAAGGGCCATTTGGGGGCAAAAATTGGAAACAACCCCAAGATCATAACGGCCATCTCGGCCTAGATTAAACAAACTTATGAGAGCAAGCGGCATGTTGATAGGACGCACGGTGTGAGATTTAGACCCAAAAAAAAAAATGTGAGAAAAAGGCAAAAACGGGCCGTTTGGGGCGAAAATTAGGAACAGCCCCCAATATCATAATGGTCATCTTGTCTTAGATTAAACAAACGTGTAAGAGTAAGTGGTGCATTGATATTGATTGAATTTTAATGTTGATTCGATGTATACATATAAATATTGTTTTATTTACAACATGGTATTGATAGTCCTTTAATTTGTTTATGTTATCTTTACTTTCCATGGACCTTTTTCAATTTTTGTCCAATTTTACAATTCAAGTGATGTGCAAATATTTTCATAAAAAAATTACCGTACATTATTTTTGTTTTTCTTTTGTACAGATGGATGAACTCGTGTACGAAGCTGAATTGTACAGGACTAGCTGGCACTTGTTACAGTTTTTTAAGGATTATATATTTTTAGATAGATGTGTATGAAAAATATTTGGGTAGACTACTCGTTATATTTTTGGATAGATGCATATGGATAAAAATTCAAAACATAATAACAACTACTTGTTATGTTTTAAATTTTCATACTAGACAGATGTGAATTGGATGATTATATAGATTACATGACCTTTTTAATTGAACGATTATGTAGTTCGGAATTACTTGTGGATGAAAACTTATAATGGTTGATGACTTTAATTAAACAGGTTAAGTATTGGGTGATTTATGTATTTTGTTGGATGTTCATGATTTAGTTAATTTTGTTGGTTTGAATGATTCTTGCAAATTGTAAGTTATATTCAATAGTTTGGATGGATTATTATATATCATACAGGCCAAATGGAATTCTTTTTATATTTTATTTCTATTTGATAAACGAAAAGAAGTGAATTGACGACCAAAATTTGGTTTGGTTTTTCCTCTTTTGGCGACCAAGTGATTAGTCAGTGTTTCTCTATTCACATTTGGTGACCAAAATGTTGGTAGGCAAAAGGGTACATTTGGCGACTAAATAATTAGTCAGTAAAATTATTAATTTTGGCAACCAAAGTGTTTGGTCGCGAATAGGTCTATTGCCGACTAAAGTTTTAATCGTGCAAACATCACTTTTGGCGCCTAACGTTTTTGGTCGGGGAATGTGACAATTGGCGACTAACATATTTAGTCGGGAAAATATCACTTTTGGTGACTAAAGTGTTTTAGCTACAAAATGGATTAGTCGCGGTAATTATATATTTAGCGACCAAAAATTTAGTTGGCAAATAGAACTTTTTCTCGACTAAAAAAATTTTTAGTCGCTAATTACTTTTCCCGACCCTCAATTGGCAACCAAAGTGGTAACTAAAAAAATTAGTCACGAATAACTTTTGCCGACTAAATTTTTAGTCGGCAAAAGTGCGATTTCCTGTAATGCTTGTTGTCGGACGACCGGCAGGACAATCAACATGCACAAATTCTGGCGATTTGGGCAAAGCCAAAATTCGGTGGATGTTAGTATGAATATAACCAATACCTATGTATGATTTGTTGTAATTTTGGCGACTAGAGTTTGAAATCAATAAGATGTAGTCAGGTCTAGTCAAGCCCAACAAATTCTTAATTTTTTCTTTTTCTTTGAAAAATGTCATAATACATCTTTTGAGTATGTTTAAGGTTAAATTAAGTTTTTTCCATGAATATCCATTGGTATTTTAGTGACATAAATATGGTTCAGTATTACATGGGTCAGGTTAGTTAGACCCAATGGTTCTACAACTGTTATTTGTAAAACTTTTCATGAACAATAAGCATACACTCCCTTAAAGTGTTTTAGGTTTTAAAACTGTTAGATTCACATCTAAAAACTTATAGTCTCACTGAAATAAAAAATGCGAAAATAAATACAACTGAAAAGAGTTTTGTTAAACGGGATTGCCAAGAATAAAAACCTAACAATCTCCTCCTTTGGCAATGCCGTGACAAAACACACCTAACAAATAAAATCCTAATTACCCCAACCCATTATAGCCAACAAACACAAACTTCTTTCTCAAGGTTAAGATCTGCAAAAAAGCTATTAGTGCCACAATCTCCAAAACAACTATTAGTCCCACAAGAGTATATGAAAAAGCAATAAACATATGACTAGATTATCTTGAAGCATTTGAATCATGAGATGGAAAACATGAATAGATGCGACTTGGAGATTTTAAGAACATGAGGATGAAAACCTGAACACTAAGACACATGCACCCGACACATGGCATGAATACATGAAATCCTAAGACACATGCACCGAAAAACATTACTCCCCCTTTTGGTCACGAATTGACAAAGGAAGCTTAATCAACTAAAACAAGATCAGAAACCACACAAGCAATGATAAGATTATGTAAATATCAGGAGCATGCAAGAAGGAAATAATCAAAGAGTTCATGCTAACAAACTTTTACAATGATAACCCAAACTCTCCCGCACCAAAAGCACCCACAAACACTGAAAACAGTGAACAAGAAGAAAACGACAAAAATAATATGGTGGAGCAAGTAGAGAATTTTATATTTGTACCTTAAAACACACATGACTATCCAAGAAGCACAATTACGTGAAAACACAATGTGCACAGCCTCTAGAAAATTCCTCATAAAAGAAAGTGATGCATTATGTGAAAAGCATAGATCCCATGAGAAAAGTGTGTGTGTGACTCTTGGAGTTCGACATACACAAGATTCAAATCCTAATAGTGATCTGATAGTTGGACCTCTGACAAGAGAATCTAAGCACAATTAAGGAAAGTCAAACCACTAGGAATCAAGGGGTATTTGGTGAGTAAAGACGAAGGCTCCCCCTCAATCAATGAATCCTTTATTTGTTCCTTTTTTTCACATCTTTTTCTTTTCTTTCTTTTGCACATCTTTTTTTTTTTATATTATTCTTTCTTTTGCACATTTTTTATTTCTTTTGCACACTCATTGACGGCTGACACGCACAAGAGTATGGAAACTGAACCAGAGAAGTATGGATATAATAAGGATGGTCTAGTTGGTGACTCTGAGGTAGGCTTTTCCTCATGCCTGGACTACAAAGAACAGAGGGGAAAGCCGTGGAGACGCACAAAGAACAGAGGGGAAAGCCGTGGAGATCCAAAAAGATAGGGGATGGTTAAGAGACTCAACATCACCCATGATGTGCTAGTATAGGTCAATTCCTCTAGAAAAGCAAAAGATACACTGCCAGAAGTCCATAGAGAAAAATGATCACTAAGGCGTAAGACTCCAAAATTTGCTAATCCAAGAGTGTGTACAGAATGAGACATACTAATCAAAAAACACACACTCCAAAATGAATATTTATTTGTTTGTTTGTTTGATGCGGGAGAGTAACATGGGAGGGTAGGAGTTTTTTTTTTTTTTTTTTTTTTTTTTTTTTTTGACAATTTTTGTATGTTGTGTTTCGATCTTCCTCTTTCTTGATCATTAGTTCTTCCAAAGCAACTTGAGACATCTCGAGAGTTTCAATTTTTTCTTCATATGTTGTATAGATTTGCTGTAGCTCATTCCTTTCTGTCTCACAAGTCAAGAGTTTTGCACAAAGAGCTTGTCGATCATTAGCTATCTTGATGGCATCAATCCTAGCCTCGGAAATCTCCTCATTTAGTTTGACATTCTCACTTTCACATGCTTTGAGTTTCATAGTGAGTCTGTCATTCAATTTGGATAAGTTGAGAGATTCCTTATACAACTTTTCATAAGCTTGCTCAAGCTTTTCATCATCACTTCTCGAGGATTCATCATCAGTGGCATTCTCAACCGGCCTCTTCAGATACTCTGTTCGTCCTTCAGTTTCGGAAGCCACCATGAAAGCAAGGAATTGTTTATGTCTCGCTTTGCCTTGATCTTCATTGTCACTTACATCTTTATCAGATTTGGATTCATCATCCCAAGTGATAGCGAGGGCTTTCTTTTTCCTCAAACAAGTGGGGCATTCTTGAGCAAAGTGGCCAAATCCTTGGCATTCATAGCATTGGACACTTTCAGAGTTCCCTTGTATCTTTCCTTTCTCCTTCGTGGCTATAGGATTAATTCTGAGTTTATCTTTGCCTTTAGATTTATGAGTATGAGTAGATTCCAAAAGTTTAGGATTCTTTTTCAGAAAA